GTGTGTGTGTGTGTGTGTGTGTGTGTGTGCTTTTATACATGGAATTCTTAGCCTTCACCTTGGTCTTCCCTGGCGACCCGCTCAGAGTGATGGTTTTTGCTGATTCTAGCGATGGTCAGGTAAACGACCTGACCATTGCTCTGAGTGGGTCACTGGAGAAGACCAAGGCGAAGACTAAAAATTCCACATAGGTGGAGCATCGCACCCCAGAAGCATCAACCAAGCAGGGGAATGAGGACATGTGTGGTTGGAACCAGCTTGCAGGAGAAGAGTTTGTTTTGGTGGGATGCTGGTGCTCGAAGCAGCCCGCTGACTCCTTTCCTCCGCCGTGGTCTGGCGCTCCATGCAGGCATAGAGAGCCATCCTTGCCCTCCCTCTTCCCAGGCTCCCTTCCCTGTTTCACCTGCCCACTCTCCCTCGCATCCTTTCTTCCCCCCACCCACCGGCGATGGCTTCTTCTGCACCTCTGGGTTCCAACTGGGGCCTGATCATGAACAGCATTGTCGGGGTTAGCGTGCTGACGATGCCCTTCTGTTTCCGACAGGCATTAATGGTTATTATATAAAATATACAGGTTGAATATTCACCTTAGGAGCAGTAGCATGGCTTGCTTGTTATATTGCTCAAGGTTTATGTTTCATTTTTTTATTCTTATTTCGTATTCTTTTTAAATTGAGTTATATTGTCTGTTCTTAGAACATCTATCCTGAATTATTGATATAAAAGAGGATAGCATATGTAAGTTCTCTTGATACATGAATTCCAAGGCTCATTATTTCTTTAATGTTTTCTCTCTGTTATATTGTCTGGTCGTGTTTGTTATAACCTGGTGCTTAGACACCTGTTCATCTGTGTGACAGGCACAAAACTATAGAATCTGGGATTAAATTTTGTTTTATAAATTGAGAAATTACAAACTATTTCTGTTCATTATTAAAGTAATCTTATATCTATATGAGAGTCATATAAATCTTGTTTCTTTTCTTCTATTTTTCCTTCCCCCCTCACCATTGCCATGGATGTTGAGAGGCTTTCCGATTGTGGAATCCAATGTAAAGAAGATTTTATAAACATATGCCCAGGTTGTTTCATATTAAAAAATGATCTTGTTGTTTTCAGCTCCAGATACATTCCTTAGGAGCCATTTTGGTGTAGTGGTTAAGGCATCAGGGTTGAAACAAGGAGGCTGAATTGTAATCCCACCTTATCCTAGTGCCTAGTCCCACCTTAGGCCCAAAGCCAGCTGGGTGACCTTGGGCCGCTCACTGTTTCACTATCCCTAGGAAAAAGGCAGTGGCAAATCCTTTCTGAAATCTTGCCAAGAAAACTTCAGGAATGTTTCTAGGAAGCTGTCAGGATTGACTTGAAGGCACACACAAAAGATAAAGTTTGCATTACATGGCTTTACAGAATAAAGAGCCCTGGAATATGTTTTTGCAGTAATTAAGAAAAAAGTGAAGTGAAATTGCCTGTCCAATGAATAAGTGGCATACATATTATAATAAATGAATATGCAGCTTCCTGAAATTCCCAGCCATTGCAACCATTGTTTAAAAGTTGCTTTTTAATAAAAAATCAATATTTTCATAAATATTTATATTTACATACAAGCCACGCCCAGCCAGTCACATGAGCACCAAGCCTCACCCCACAAATTAGGCCACACACACAGAACCGGTTGTTAAGAAATTTGAATCCCACCCCTGATTTGCACTTGCCTTCTTCAATTGCTTCATAGGTTCATTTCAGAAAACAAAATTGTACAGAAAATAGCATGTTGAAAATAATGTGGTATTGCACCTCCAGCTAATATTAAAAATTATAGCAGCAGTCTTGCTAAGGCTTGCTTGTTGTATTAAACATTACCACTCAGGTCTGTTATGGGAGCACTGTTTCAAGTCTTCCTCCTTTTCTTGCATATGATAGTTCTTCGTTGTTGGAAAACTGTACAGTAGTCCTAGAGTGAGATTTGTCTGATGATATTCGGTGATATTCGGTCTGATGATAGTCTATGGTCAGCTATGCCATAGCTATGGTCGGCAGCAGGACCAGCAGCCATGTTCAGCAGGAGCCCACGTGGCCACCAGCCCACTTCTGCTTGCTCACTGTCACAACGGAGAAGGAGGCCCAGCAACACACTGGTGCCATGGCCATGAGGTGAGGCAGGGGTGCAGGAGCCCCATGTGCCCCACACCTGCTTACCTCAGGGCCCTTGCAGCCAGGCCCTGACATCTGCCTCACCTCGTGGCCATGGCACCGTTGCAGCCATGAGCAACTACAATGATCTAATACATATCGATTTTACAGAAGACAATGTTGAAAAAGCACTACACAATCTAAAACCATCTCTATCTATTGGACCGGATGGAATATGTGCCTACTTCTTAAAAAAGCTATCCACTGCCATAGCAGAACCTCTAAGCATATTCTTGGAAAAATCTTTTAGGACCAGCTCCTTGCCTAACCTATGGTCACAAGCCACGGTCATCCCCATCTTCAAAAAGGGAGACCCCAGCCTAGTTGAAAATTACAGACCAATCTCCTTATGCTGTGTCACCTGTAAAGTCATGGAATCAATTATTAACCAATCCATTATCCTCCACTTAGAGACAAACAACCTACTCTCCAATAAACAATTTGGTTTCAGGAAAAAACTATCCTGTAATCTGCAACTCTTACACTGCAAAAACATATGGACTACACAATTTGATCAGGGCAAAGCAATAGACGCAATCTACATAGACTTCTGTAAAGCCTTTGATTCAGTGGTACATGACACACTACTCCTAAAACTAAAATCTTATGGTATCTCTGGACAACTGCATAACTGGATAGAAGCATTCCTGTCAAACAGACAACAAATGGTCAAAATTGGGAGTGTCCTATCAAATTCTGTTCTGGGACCAACTCTGTTCATACTCTACGTAAATGACCTCTGTGATCATATTAAGAGCAACTGTGTTCTTTTCACTGATGATGTAAAGCTGTTCAATACCACAGACAATACTGCTACCCTTCAAAAAGATCTTGACTATGTATCAGAATGGTCAACAAATGGCAACTTCAAATCTCAACAAATAAATGCTCTCTCTTACATATTGGCAAAAAAATGTATCAGAAAATAAAATACAAGCTGAATAGTCAAGATCTTGTTGATGATCCAAGCTCTGTAAAGGACCTTGGAATACTCATCTCTAATGATCTAAGTGCTAGAGCCCACTGTAACTACATAGCCAAAAAGGCATTAAGAGTTTCTCTGGTAATATCACACTACTAACTAGAGCATACAAAACATTTGCTAGACCAATACTCGAATACAGCTCATCAGTCTGGAACCCACATTACGTATCTGATATTAGCACAGTTGAGAAAGTCCAGAAATATTTCACAAGAAGAGTTCTCCACTCCTCTACTCATTGTAGAATACCTTATGCCACCAGACTTGAAATTCTAGACCTAGAAAACCTTGAATTACGCCGTCTTTGGTCTGATCTAAGTATGGTATATA